CTGCTTATTTGCTTTCTCATGATCATTTTCCGTAATTATCAGGCCAAAGCAAAAATAAAATAAAATAAAAAATAGACAAAAACATGGCAGCCCCTTAAAGACTAAGCGCTATATTTTAATGTGAGATTTCATGGACCACGTCCACCTCCTTGGACACACGATTTGGGACTGCATAGCAAATATCTATACAGTTTATATATATTGCCCCAAAATAAATATTTTCCAAGCAGCCGCAACTCATGTGTCCGAGGAAGTGGATTTGTTTAAAGCTAACATGGAAACACACAGCGCTTCGTCTGGAAGCGGCCACCATGTTTTCGTCTTCTTGATTTTTAATTTTTCTTTACCTTTTTGCCTGGTGGGCTAGCACAGACTGACACGGCTGCCGCTACTAAAACTATGTTTTCTGTAATATCACTGATTAGCATTGTTATTATTTTTGAATCCCTCTCAGGGGAGCAGAGTACGAAACATGTTAAATAAATAAATAAACAAACAAAAAAACCAATAACATTTAACAACAACTACTAATGTTTCTTGAAAATCATTCCTTCCAAGTTCTGGGATAAAGAAATCCACCATACCCACCAAACATATTATTGCTGTTAAACTAGTAACGGCAACAATAGACTAATAATTATATTAATACCAATTATTATTTTTATCACCGACACCAAGCCAATTTAAAGCCAATTTGGTCATCCTGAGCACAGGAGACCCACTGAATTAGTGACAGGTCATTGCTGAAGCAAATTCCACACATGTATTTAATCACTTCCTCTAGTTGAGATTCAACGGTCCTGGAATCAGTCGGACTGAAGCGGACGACAAGGAGGCATGTTGAGCCCATCTTGAGACGAGGTAACTTCTATGAGGACTTTTAAAGGGCCCCAAAAGATGGCTAAGCAGGGGAGGAAATGCTGCCCTGCCCACTTCAGTAAGGCCTCAATTATGATTCGAAGGTCGTCAGGGTCTCGCAAATGGACAAGCGGCCCACAGGCAAACCGAAGGACCCGCTCATTTTTAAGAAAAAATGCAAAATTCCTTCCGTTAGGCTGGAAATCCGCCTTGCTGGGGGCCGTTTGCACCGCTGGCAATGATGATGTGCCAAATATAGATGGGACCCTGGGCTATCCGGGCACCGTGTGTGTGTTCTGCCCGGGCCAGGAGGAAAGCAGGGCATCTCCTCATCCCTTGGTGCCAAGGCCAGAGGAAGGAGGGTCTCCGTGTCCCTTTGGAAAGGCGGCGAGGAGGGCTGGGCTGGGCCGGATCCCACCACCACCGGCCACTAGATGGGAGCCTCGGCTAAAGAGTCGGGTGGCGAAGGGAGGGCGAGCCAGAAGGGAGGGCAAGCCGGCCGGCTGCTTTCCGGTCGAGCAGAGAGCGAGGCAACGAGGCAAGCGGTTACTCAGGGCCCATCCTGTGGGTCACACCGGGTGGAAGCTGAAGAACTTGACATTTTGCCTCGCTCCAGGCGGTGGTGGGGAGCCGGCCGGCCGTGCTGGCAGGCGGGGCAGGCATCACCCTGTGCAGGCGGACACAAGAAAGAAGGGCCCAGCGGTGATGGCTGTTTCCCTCCCGGTCGGTCATGTCCGGCACGGATGGACAGACGCACGCACCGAGGCTTCTCCGCAGCCCTTCTGAAGCTGGCCGGGCCTGGCTGAGGGCGGGAGGGATCCCCCCCCCCCGGGATGGGCTGGGGGGGGCGGCGGGGCAGGCATCACCCTGTGCAGGCGGACACAAGAAAGAAGGGCCCAGCGGTGATGGCTGTTTCCCTCCCGGTCGGTCATGTCCGGCACGGATGGACAGACGCACGCACCGAGGCTTCTCCGCAGCCCTTCTGAAGCTGGCCGGGCCTGGCTGAGGGCGGGAGGGATCCCCCCCCCCCGGGATGGGCTGGGGGGGGCAGACCACACCCCCACCCTCCCTTCTCCAAGCAAAGAAGAACAGGGAGGTTGAAACAAGGCACCTTTCCTTTTCAAAACAAGGATGTCCGAGAGTTACATTTCAGAAACAGTCAACAGGACCGGAAATAAAAGCGGATGTGCCGAGGTAACAATGTTTCCAGGGACTTTACACATGGATTGTAAAGGGCATTTTAAGGCCAGTTTTTCACGTTTTGGGCTTCTCTCGTATCTAAGGTTAGAAAGAACAGATATGGCAAACTGAGAGGGAGCGTTTAGGGGGCTACAGAAAAAACAACAACCCCACCAAAGATCTACTGGGGTTTGTTTATTTCCCACGGCTGACTTTCTTTGTCACAAGGCTGGGTAAAGGGACGGACCAAGAGTTGCACAATCCAGCCGGTTTACACCCTGGGGAAGGCGAGAAAGGGCCTGGCAGCTCTGCTTGGGGAAGCGTTGGGGGGATGGGCCACCCCGCTGCCTGTGACTTCGGGCGACCTCGTAAATGAGTGACTTTCAAATGGCCCCGTCCTCAACAGGCCCCTGTCCATCTCTTGCAGATTCAAGCGTCGTGGCTTCCTTGTGGGAGTCCATCCGTCTCGTCTTGGGGTCTTCCTCTTTTCCTGCTGCCTTCTGCCTGGTCTTTTCCAGAAATATTCCTGCCTTCTCCTGAGGTGCCCAAAGTACAGCAATCCTCAGCTTCAGCATTTTTGCCTCCAGAGAGAGTTCAGGCTGGATTTGCTCCGGGACCCACAGGTTAGTCTTTCTGGCTGTCCACAGCATCCCCAAAGCTCTCCTCCAGCCCCGCTTTTCAAACAAGTCAACTGGAATTCAGGCTCTAAATAGTCCTAGCAATTTTGAGCTTAACTCCAGCAGCCTCACGATTGTGTCTGAGAGACCCTCGGGATTTCCCCGTTTGGAGAAGGTCTCTGGTTTCCTTGCAGGAGTCAAAGAGAGTTTCCGAGATAAGAGTCGTCCACCGCTCTTCAAACCTCAAATTCCAGGACTCTGTAGTGAGGTTCACATGGCAGGTAAAGCGTTCTCAACCTGCTGTCCCCGTGGGAAAGTGTGAGCGTCACGAGTGCCCAAGAAACCAGGAACGGTGTCACCAACGCCTGGATCATTCTCCCCCTGTCCTTCCCCCCCATAGCAAACCACGTCCCTCTTCTGCTCTCGGGCGAGAAGGGAGTCCTGGCCTCCCCAGGGGGCTGCTACCCCACACAAGGAGGTGTCAACACCCGAAGTTTCTGGATCCCACCCTGAAATCAAAAGAACTTTCATGCAGCGAAACCCCAGCCCGGGTCTACCTGCAACGGAGGGACGAAGCAGTAGACCTTTGGTCTAGATGGGCGGGGTAGAAATCCAATCAAATAAATAAATAAATAAACAGAAGCACCCCGTTTCTCCTTTGCAATCAAATTCCAAAAGATTTTTTTTTTAAAAAAAGCACTGAATATTTGAAGTGGTGGGGGAGGGCTTTTCCCCTCCTCCTAAGAAGCCGCCGGGCTCGGAACGAGTTTCCCTCCAGGCAGTCCTGCTGGGTGGCTTCTCGGGGGTTTGATGCAAACACAAAGCAGGCTCTGAAGTTTTGGTGGCCACCCTGCTCCCCCATTGCGACGCCCCACCCGGGCCCTTCCCATTCTTGCTATGGGAGTGTGCGGTTTCTGCAACCCTTCCTCAGCTGTCAAAACCTCCGAAAAGCAAAAAATTAAAAATAAAAAATTGGAAGCAGCTGCCAAAACCTTTTGGTGGGAAATTCAGAGGCATCCAGTTGAGGGGTGGGGAAACCCATAAGATTCTCTTCCACATCAAGGGTGCCTGGGAGGGAAAGGTGCCTCAGGCCCCTTTCAAAGGGCAACAGAAAGCTCTCCCAGGATTTGTAAGGAAAGACACAATTCTGATCTTCAACACAACAACAAAATCAAGTTTCTAGCCCTTAAGAATAAGTCTCAAACACGCCAACAATGCTCACCCACCTAGCAGCAACATAAGAAGCGAATTAACTGCCGAGGGAAGGCGAGGGGGCCTTGCCTGCAAACCACACGCAGCCACCCTGTCTACGGTACTACAGCTTCCATCATCCCCAGTCAGCAGAGCCTGCGGAGTCCCACCCCTGTCCTAGAGGAACAGAGGGAAGGTGGGGTTCTGCACTTGGTTTTTGGGGGGTTGTCAGGGGACCCAGTGTCCCACGCAGATCCAAGCACTACAAAATGAGGTTCAACAGTCTCCTCGTGGACTCCCGCAGATGTGCGCCTGTTCCTGGGTGAACAGCCAGGTGGGGAGCGGCCGGCCTGCTCGTCCAGTCGGGGGGCTTGGACCCAAACCTTATTCCTCGGCTGCCTCTGCCCGAGCCTTGCCAGCCTCTCGCTCTCGTCTCCTGAGGGACACGGCGCTCCTCATGCCTTGCGGCAGCAAACCATTCGCTGAAACTCTCCCTCGCACCTCCGGGGAGACTCACCAGGGTTATCCGGTGGCCGCTTTCATAGACTTCAGGTCACGGCTTCCACGGACGTTTGTGCCCCATTAACCCCTTTTGTCTTTAAAGTGCCTTAAAGGTCTCTTGGCCCTCTTGCCAGACCCTTTTGAGAATCCAACCCCGGTGCCCGAAATCAGCCCCTTCTTTGACCTCCCCAAGAACTGCTTGACGAAACCTTGGTGTCCTCCAAGAACGGCCACTCACGTTTTAATGAAAGTGAATTCACAGCTCCACTTCCATGCCCCCCCACTCTCACACACACTCTTCCCCCCCCTCACAAAACCATTTTCAAGCTACTGTGAGCATCACGGCTGTCTAAGGTCTTGCTGGTTTCATCTGCATTTCAGACCCTCCGTGTGGCCTCTGAAACCAGGCTGCAAAAGTCCCCCCCACTTTTTCTGCCTCCACCCTTAAATTGGGGGGGGGCCTTCCCAGCTTCGCAAGGGGCACCAGGTTGGTCTGGTCCCTGCCGAAGGTCCGGCCGGCAGCGGAGACCACACTGCTCCACACCGACTTTAAAACCAGCTTTGAAACAGGTCTCAAAACGGCCTGTTTCAGAGGAACAGCCTTGATTATTTTACGGTCTGTTGTTCGGCCAGCGCCGGGGATGGAAAAACGAGGCATCGGTGCTTTGCCTAAGAGAGGAATCCGCCTTCCCTCGGCCTTACCTGTGCTGTAGGCGGTGGGCATGGCCGAGAAGGGCAGCCCCTGCGTCAGGAGGCTTGGGGTGGCCACCGAAACCACCGGTGTGGTGAGCGAGTGGGTCCCTTGGGAGACGACGAGGCGTTGTGTGTTCTGCTGGGGAGACGCAGAGAGAGAGAGAGAGAGAGAGAAGCGGGTTGTGAGAGAGTGTTCCCATCTTTTATTTTGGCCCCTGGGGCTCCATCCTAGGAAAGGCTGGAGTTTGTAGTCCACAGAGGGTCCCTGAATCCTTGGCTTGAGGGAGGGGCCGACAGATGCCCACCCACCGATCCCAAGGATGCTTCGGGCGGGGCTGTGGCACCAAATGCAGGACCGAAGGGGCTCCAGCCATCCAGGGCAGAGACACTTAGGGAGGACACTTCATTTCACAGAGGCAGCAGGCAGGCTGCGGGTTTCAGTCCGAACTTGACAGGCCCATACTGAGGGTGCCAGACTCTGTCCTAAAAACGGATCCAGTCTATAGGACGGCTCCTTTAAAAGGGTAAAAATAGGGAAGACTCTTCTCTGCCCCTTCCATAATAAAATAACAAGCTGCGCGACACCTTCCTTGGAAGGCACCCCCCCCCTCCCCATGTTAACGAGCCGCTTTCTGAGGTAAGAAAGAAGGTACAGCTCCGTTCGAAAAGCAGCCTTGGGAAGGGATTTGGGATGCACCACAGAGCCAAGCAATGGGGTGCTGAGGAAAGAGCAGGATGGAACCCTCAAGGAGCACCGGGACGTCTGAAACTGCGGGCACAGGAGGGAAGCAGGGTGTGACGCGGGCGATGCGCCTCTCTCCACGAGATGCCTGTCCTTCCTCCTCCTCGGAGAGTCCAGACCCCTCTCCGGCCTCCATTTTGCTGCCCCTCAACATCTCCCCACCCCACCCCTCTATCTCTCACGCGCGCGCACACAGCCAGCTTGACTCTTCCAGGCGTTCCGCTCGGCAGCTGGAACGCCCCCACTCCACTCTAATCGCAGCATTCAAAAAGCAGAAAGAAGCCTCTCCTCCGTGGGGGTGTTCTTCGGTGCCAGGGAGGGCTGGCTTTGGGGGGGGGGAAGCGATTCTGCACCTTTGCAGGCAGCAAAATGAACAGAGGCACCGAGCGGTCAAGACCTCCATCTCAGGCCTTGCCTCACGTTGGCCAACAGAAGCCTGGGACATTTTCCTTCCTTTCTTTCACAAAGAGCAGAAGGGTCGAGAGAGAGAGAGAGAGCAAGCACCAACAGGCAAGGCAGGCAAAAGAGACGAAGAAGAAGAAGAAGAGAGAGAAAGAGAGAGAGAGAGAAAGGGGGAGAGGGATGCAGGCATCCACCAGGCGAGGCATGCAGAGAGACGACAGACCGAACCAGGCACTCCTTCGCCCATGCAAGCTGCGTCGTGAGGAAGGGAGGCTCTTCCTCCCACGGAGACAGGAGACGATTAGCCTCAGGAAGAAACCCCTGAGCGCCCATCATCCAGATATCGGAAGGGCTGGGGGGGGGGACACCCAGATCAAGGACCTCGGCTGTTCGGGACCAGAAGGGTCTCCCTGGGACCCTGGCCGGCTTTTTCCTCTTGAAGGGGCTTGAACGAGAGAGAGCGGGCGGCTGCCGTGGGACGTGGGATTCTTGGCCCTGGCAGCCAGGTTGGGATACTGGGATGCGGGGAAACGCTCCGAGCATCACCACCCTGCGATGCTCCGATTCCAGGCTGCGTGGCTGACAGGCGGGCGTCCGGGAGGGAGGGGGGAGACCGGACAGGCGGGCAGGAAAGCCGTTTCCAAAAAAGGGAACCCTTTCCCTGCATCCATGAGGTGGGAGTTTGTGTGTGTGTGTGTGTGTGTGTGTGTGTGTGTGTAATGACTCCTGTGTAAAATGCCCAGGGTTCCCTCGTGGATGAAAGCAAAGGGAGGGGGACATCAGGAAAATTAAATTTCCAGGAAAGCGCAGCCGATGAAACGAGGGACCAGTTTCACTGAACAGGAAGACCAGCCTCCCAGGGGAGCACCTCTGGGGGGCCTGGCGGGAAGGCAGGGGGGGCTGGATCTGAACCGGACATCCCAAGAAGGGGGCGGCGGGGGGGGAAGGGCACGGGGAAGGGCAGAAAGAAGCCAAGAGAGGGTCCCCCCCTCTGTCTGGTCTGGTGCTTCTCCAGCCGTCAAGAGGACGGCGGGACTCCTAGAAGACCTAAAAGCGGCCGATGGTGAGGGATGTGGGGCACTGTGGCTGCCATCCATCCATCCACCCCCCCTTATCTCTTCTCGCCACCCCCCCAAAGACCCACTATTAAAGGGGGCAAACCAAACAGCGGCACAAACACAGAAATGCACATCCTTGCAAGTCAAGAAACTCACCAGATCCAAATGGTCGTCCGTCTGGGAGCAGAACGGAAAGGAAACCAAAGGAAATCGTTATGTTTCCTTCAACCTGCCCTGAGAATCCCGTCTCCTGTGATCTCTCTCTCTCTTTTTTTTTGGGGGGGGGCCCTGTGATCTCTCTCTCTCTTTTTTTTGGGGGGGGGGAGGAGGCTTGTCAGTCTGTTTTGCCACAAAGCCACCAGTCCTGTGGCATCTTAAGGACTAGCAGCTTTTTCCCCCTGGCAGAAGCTTTCCCTCCATGGACATCCGCCTTCAAGGCAGGGCGGCTGCCGTCTGCAAAATCTTATGCCCAATAAAATGTGTTGGACTTGAAGGTGTCACAACACTCTTGGTCTGGCTGTTCCTGTCTTCAAGAATGTCTCCCAAACAATCTTTTTTTCAGCCTCTGTAGACCAGATTTGTGTGTGGTTCCCAGACTACAACTTTTAGCAACTCTTGCTTGCCTTCCTCTTGTGCTGAAGGGGAGGAATCTTGCAAGGCTTGGAAATCCCTCCCCTCAAGTGCCTTTTTTTTTTCAAGACCACCCATATTGAAGAGGAAGGCAGAATTTCCAGGGTGTTCCTTCCACCTGCCACTCAACATGCCCCCCCCAGTGAAGACCAAACCAGACTGAAAGGCAAAGCCAGCTCTCCCCCCGCCCCCAGGCGTTTTCCACCCGATGCGGGGGACTCACCAAGTGGTGCATGAGGCCCTTCCCGCTCTGGGAAGTGATGACGCGCAGGTCAGGCTTGCGGCTGTTGGCCCCCAACGGGGTGCCGTGGGACGGCGGCGGAGGCGGCGGTGATTTGGCCGGAATAACTTTGCCCAGACTGTTTCCATTGGAGACTGGGAGGAGACCGGGCGACGCTCTGGCACTGACGTAGCCATTTCCTGGGGGAAGAAAAGAAGGAATAAAGATAAATAGAAGAGAAGCAAAGCGCGTGCCGCCTCTGATCAACCTCTCACTCATCACATGCATACAGACCTAAAATAACTTCCTTTAAAAATTATACAGTATATATACTCATGTTCTCCAAAGAAGGGGACTTAAGAGGGAAAAAATGGGAGGGCACCTCTATTTATTTCGCCTCCCTCTGCGGTTCCCTGTAGGCACCTTTTTAGAATATAGCGGCTATAGCCTTACGAACATTGCCATCTGCAAATCATGGAGGGATGGGAGTGCCCCGTTATTATTTTTTAATCCTGTAAAGCACTGTTCAATTAAACAGAACATTTGCTTCTGCACCGCCTTTCTCCTGACACAGAAAGAGTGATCGAAATATGACTATGAAGTCCCTGGGCTTCCCCTTGTCCAAAAGGAAAACACCACTAACCAATTCAAAGCGATTTCCAAAGGACGCCATTAAGCAAGCGAAACTATTTCTCATCTGCTACAACTGGAGTTTGGAGAGAATCCGTTTGAACCGGACTCTGATGACTGCGGGGGCAGAGAGATTCTAGGGGAAGGAGTCATCGAACTGTCCCCCTCCCAAAAAAGTAACTTCTCCAAGGGCTTGCAGTTGTTGCAGACAAAGATAAGCAAGCAGATACCCTCAATGGGGAAACCGCTTCCTGCTGCCCTGCCTCTGTATAAGGCCCTCACTCAACAGGGTAGAAAACAGGTCAACGGAGCATCAATCTTGGGTCACCCGATGGAGCACATTTTGACTAGGAAGACCAAAGCTTGAAAGGACCAGCTGGAAGGGCTGGGGATTCTGGGTCTCATAGTGCAAGGGGGGAAAGGGCAAAGGGAGGCTGGGCTCTGTCACTCAGTGGCCAGCTAGCCGGCCACCCTCTCTGGGCAAGCCACGCCGAGAGGAGCAGAAGAGGCCACGAGAGGCAAGGCGGCACCTGGGTGGCACCGAGGCCTGGGAAAGTTCCCTGGTCTCTCCCCCCCCCCAAAAGCCAAGCCTCTGGAAGGGGGGGACGCTCTTTCGCTCTCTCTTTCTCTCTCCCCCCCCGCCCGCCTTCCCTGCTCTCGTTTCCTGGCATGAGGGGAATGCACGGGTGACGTCAAGGCTGACATTCAGGGGCTCGGCCAAGATCCCGGCCGGAACAGCCGCGAGCGACAGCTGACATGCCTTCATGGACTCCAGCAGCCGGGCCGGGCGATGGCGTGTCTCCCCGTGATTGACAGAGACAGCCAAAGGGCCAGGGAGGGACCGGACCGGACGACCCTCAAGATCTGGGCACATTCGGACAGCGTTCCTCAACCCCGTGGTGCCTCGCGGTGCGCCAAATCCCCCCTACGTACCAGCTGCCTCATCCAGGGAAATACCCCCCCCCCAAGCCCACGCTTTCTCCTTTGGGGTCTCTTCTCAGGAACTCAACCCCTGAGGTCAGTGGCTGTCTGAGGAGGAACCCACGCCAGGAGAGCCGGGAAGGGACCTCCTCCGGGGGCTGGGAACAAGCCTTCATGGACTCCAGCCGCCCACATTTTCAGGGTCCACTTGGAACACACACACCCCCACGAAGGCTTAATCAAAATCATCTAGTTGTTCTCAAGGACTCTCTCTGTTACATTGACCAAGAAGATAGTCCCGCTGCTGTGATGCCCGATTTGGGGGAAGCGACGCCTCCTGAAATTCTCTCCTCCACACAGAAACTCGGCTTGCAAGCCTCGCGCCGGCCGAGGCCTCCGCCAATCAGAGGCCAAGGTGCCTCCTGAGCTGGCGGGATCGCTCTCTCCACCCAGGGCCAGGCAGCAATTAAACCCAACCAAGCATCATTTTGAGAGGGGGGGGGGAGAAAGGGGATCCAGGCGACGTGGCCGAAGCCACCCAAAGGGACGGCTGTCCTTTGAACCAGGGATTTCAAAAGCAAGGGCTGGTTTGGAAAAACGGGGCAAGGTCAGGACGGTGATCTGAAAGGGCGGGACCCGGCCTCTAATTAAAACCGGTGCGGAAAAACCCGCTCGCCAGGCACACACACACACACACACACACACACACACCCCTGCCAGATGGGCCCTCCAGTGCCGGTTACAACACCGCCCCGCCTCCCTCGAAGGGCAGGTTTTTGGAGCGGCTGATCGGGTCAGCCTGGGAGACAAAAACGTCTGTTCAGGCGGTTTCTCTTTCCGAGGCACCTGCTCCTCTTCGGGGAGATTCTGGCTGCCAAATGGGAGCCCCGTTTGTTGGTCCAGGGAGCCAGAGTGTTAAAGCTTGAAGGGGCCCCCCCCTTGAGACACACAGACACACAGACAAACGGCATCCGGCTGCCAAATGGAAGCCCCGTTTGGTGGTCCAGGGAGCCAGAGTTTTAAAGCTAGAAGGGACACACACACAGACACACAGACACACAGACAAACGGCATCTGCAGCTCCAGAACACACATTCTTTCATGCTTTTAGGTTCTATCATCTCCGCATTTCGAACCCTCGGCTTCTGGGAGGGCCGGTTTCTTGGCCAGGCCTTACTCACCGACCGGGCTTGGGCAGGCGCCGTTGGTGTTGTTGAGGTCGCCTCCGAGCATCGCCCCTACGAGGAAGCAAGGAGCGACGAGGGTTAGCGCCCGCAATGCCACAGCCTGAAATGGCACATTTCAACTGTTTGGCTATTTCCCCTGCTTGTGTAGTTCAGTGGCAGTCATAATTCCATCAAGGCATGCATGCTTTGGACTTCCACAGAACCCTTTATCAGGCCAGATAATAATAATATTTTAAAAAAAACATGGGGGAAGAGGGAGGAGATATTAAGCATTTTTCTGCCCTTGGGCAAGTTTAATTCCAGATCTCACGGCTTTTAAAACTTACCCAAATTTGGGGGCGGCTTTGATGCTTCTTCTCTGCCGTACCCTGTTTTTTAACCCAATGAAGAGTTCTGAAGAAATTTAAAGGCTTGTAAACTACTGCAGTATTACAATAAATCCCAATAAATGTCCCGCAGACTTACCTGGGGAGTTTGGGTTTTGGTTCCCCCCCCCAAAACCAGCACAAGTACCTTTGTTAGGTATATTTTTCCCGGCAGTGACTGAAAAATATTTCACAAGGACTTTGCCTGGATTTGTTCCCGTGCCAAAAGAGAAGTGGAAATCCTGGGTTCCCACAGGAGGGAAAACCACCACTAAGGTGGCCAGTTTTGAAACTGGAGTGGGTTAACCTTTCAAATTAGACGACGTGCTGTGGTCCAAAAAGCAAGAGGGATGAATCGCAAAATTAAAACACGGGACATATTGATTTGATGGGGGAAACATTGGTTCCATTTGTTTTCTTTTTTAAAAAAATCAGAAAAAACTCAACAAAATGGGTGGAAACCTCTGCTTAGTCCTTCAAATCAAAAATAAAAGTCCTTTAAGGTCTAAAACTGGCCCAGGAGAGAGATTTATATTATGTTTGAAATATAAATACTTTGGGAACATCCTGAGAAGGAAGGATTATCTCTGGAAAAGACCCTCGTGCTGGGAAAAGGCAGGAGGCAGCAGGAATAGAGGAAGATCCAACACGAGATGGATGGACTCCCTCAAGGAAGCCACAACGCTTGAGTTTGCAAGAGGTGAGCCGGGCTGTGGAGGACGGGACCTATGGCCCATTCATAGTTGTAAGGGACCAGATGGCACGTTAATGAAACAAACATGTCCCTGCTAATTTTGATGCCCTTTATGCACCCACAGGAAATTTTACGCGCCAATCAATTTGTTCGTCCTTAAGGCACCGCAAAAGGAGTACATTGTGTTCATTCCAATAGTTCGGACTGTTTTCCCCCCCTTAATAAATAAATCCAGAAAACAAAAAGTTTGGGGCAGAGAAGTTTCAGGGAAGTGTTGCTGCCATATTAGCGCAAAACCAACCAAGAATCTTGTGGCACGCAGAAGGCAAACACATTTGGGAGACGTTTTCGTGGACAGCCACGTTCCCCCTTTCTCTGGATGGGGGTGAAAAGAAGGGAGGAGAGAAGCCCGGACCCTCCAAAGCGGTGGGTCCCCCTTTGCCCGGCCCCAACATTGTGCAAAAAGGCATGAGCGGGCCGCCAGGAATCTATAAAGACACGGATGTGGCAAGTGGCTTGTGCCAGAGAAGGGAGTTTATTTTGTGACAAGAGGCCGCATCATCACCTACACTTAAAGCAAAAACCGGATCAGCCCATTTGCCCGGGCGGCCGCTCGCAAGCTGTAATTTCTCTCTCCGCACCTATTTAAGAAACGGAAGATGCTCCTCAGATGAGGCACAGGGATAACCAGAACTAAAAATAGCCCCTTGCTTCCTTCGTCCGGCCACAACGAACCCTCTCCGGAGCCTTCGGGACTCTGAGCACCTCCCTCCCGTTTGTCTCCGCGGATAAACCCCAGCGACTTCTCCTGGGGTGAATTTCCAGCTGGAAGCACCTTGGGGCAGAGACCTTTTCCCCCTCCCCCCGAGACCCTGCAAGCCACTCGGCCCCAAACCTATAAATTAGCAAAGCAAGACTCCATCTATACTTTCTCATCCTTGGGCTCTCAAGGTGTGGAAAGTGGAACTCTTTGACAGCAGGGAGCTTGGCCATGCGGAAGGGGGGGAAAGCCCCACATATCAAGACAAACCCCCTCTGAAAGATTTCGCTCAACTCGGGAGCGTCTCAGGCTGAGTTTAAGGTTCGTCTACGAGTCTGCCAAGGAGAGCCAGCCTCTGCTGCCAAAGGGGGCTTACAATCCACACACGGAGGAAGGACGAGGAGGTTTCCTCTCCACCAAGCGGCTGAAAAACGATGAGGTTGTCGTGGTGGATCCTGCTATTGACACCTTCCAGTGTGGTTCCTGCAACGGATGGACCTGAGCGCGACAGGATCAGTCCTTGGTTTGGGATTTCCCCCCTCCCTCATTTTATGGCGTTTTAAGCACTCCTACACAGTGGAAAGGGACAGGAAAACTGTAATAATAAAGTAATGCAACCTCTCCTGCGCTGGGGACAAAAATCGACAAAGGGTCTGGCGTTACCTTGAAGACGAACCTGCTTGGTTGGTCTTCAGGAAGACACAAGGCCCCCAATCAAAGGGGGTTGGGGGGCGGAATTGGATTTTGCCCCACTGCCATGGCTGGAAGGAGGTTGGTTGGTTGGTTGGTTTGCCCTACCTGCGCTGGCTGGTCTTTGAGGGAGACCCGGAGAGACCGTGTTGCGCTGGAGCGCCGGCTGCTGAGGCGACAGGAGCCGGGGATCAGTCAGCGACGAGGTCACGAGCGACTGGGTCACCAAGGAGCCCCCCGGGCTGCTGAACTGCAAGGTGTTCTGGTTGCTCACGGGCACCGTCACCGGCATGGCAAAATTGGGAGCCGGAACTGCAGACTGCGTGTGTGTGTATGAGAGAGAGAGAAAAAGACAGAGAATATCGTGCTTAGGAGACCAGTGAGAGACTGCGGCTGGTAGGTTTGCCAAGCACCCGTCACATCAGCAGAAGCAGGCGCAGGAAGCAGCGGGACGCCCCTAGCGCTGCGTTTCTTTTTGCGCATGCATCACACATTTGTGGCGTGCCATTTCCCTTCCTCCACTGAGTCCCCCCCCCCGGCATACCCCATGATTTCCCCAGAGGCCTGGAACATGTTTTGCACGCCAGAGAGCGCTCATGGGCGTGTGTGTGTGTGTGCATGCAAGAAAGAAGGAGGGCCTGAAAACCAGCTCCATTGCGGGGAGATCCGAGGCCTGCCGCGGACCTTGATCAGTGAGCCTTCGATGTCCTTTCCTCCCGCAATAGCCTTGTTGGCTCAGGGTAGGTTTCGCACCCATCCCCACCCGGGGCTCACAAACGACTCTTCCTAAAGCCAGATGGAGGCTTTCGGGAGCCACAAGTCTCCGTCTCAGACCCTGCCTTACCTGCCTTTTATGAGTTGAGGGTTTTGGGTTTTTTTTACCCAAGTTGGGATTAGCTCCTACCTTTGGGAACTGGGTCTCCCCCCCCACACACACACCCCGAGGCTCATGTGTGTGTGACAGAACACACCCAACTGATCGGAGGAGACTGACGGAGACAGACACCCCACAACACCCACGAGAGTGATGAGGGAGTCGTCCTCCTGGGCTGAGGGCCGGGACGCCCTGGGAGAGGCATCCGGCGTCTTTTTTTAGACAGGAGGTGGAATGTGGCAGCGCCAGAAGCAGGAGGAGAGGGTCCCGCCTGGCCTGGGAATGTGGGGCCCACCAGAAAGGGAGGAGATGATTTCAGGTGGGTCTCCTCCTTTCCACCCTCGACCTACGGGTTCGCCTTCTTAGGACGCAGAGCGTTCCTCGGAGAGAGAAAACCCGCATTGCTTCTCCAAGGCTAGAAGCCTTCCCCTGACATGACCCAAAGAGGGAGGTGGGTTCCTGGGAAAGCGCCCCCCTCCACCAACGTCAAGGGGTGCCCATGCAAATCCACAGGGCACACCCGTTCCCTCAAACAGCCCCATGGTTAGGTGTGCATGGGGTGTTTAGAGCCATCCTTTCCTCGTGTCTACCTGGGCCCAGAAACCCTGGCTCCCACGGTCACTGGGATCAGCGTCCGCTCTCCCTCTTGTCCAGTTGTTCCCTGCCCCACGAAGCTCATAGGCAAAGAACTCTGAAGCTCCTAGTCCTCAAGACAGCAGGTCAGATGGAGAGGGGGGGGGGACCCAAAACAGGCCTTTCTGTCCCTCAAACGATGAGCCCTAAGAGGACTCCTCCTCCTCCTCCCGGGTCCCATGAAGGGGAGCTCAATCCAACAGGTCAGATGGAGGGGGGGGGAACCCAAAACAGGCCTTTCTGTCCCTCGAACAATGAGCCCTAAGAGGACTCCTCCCGCGTCCCATGAAGGGGAGCTCAATCCACTCCATAAAGATGCCTCGGATTGCTCCCATGAAGACCCATACATGGCTGGCCTTCACTGGGGGGGGGGAGTTCTCAGAGAGTATTGTGTGTTGGGGGGGGGTTTGTGTTATTTTTTGAGCTTTCGGTAAATTCAGCCATACCAGCGAGACACATTACGATGCTGAGGATGCAGGAATTCAAACTCAGGGCCAGTGCTAGTGCACACACACAACATGCCAGCCTCCTTCAATGAACCACAGAGGCACAAAATGCTGTTTTATTCAGACTTCAGGGTCATCTTCAACTCATCCGTATCTCTGTCACTACAAGATACCTAGCGGAGAGATCCTCCTGTCTTGCACAAGACTATTAATAGGTTAACGACTCTCTACTGCCTTTCTTCTTATCTCTCGCCCCCGGCTGGTGCAAAGGGTCGAGCCGGAAGGTTAGAAACCCAGTCCTCAAAAAGAGCAGTTTGCAAAATCTCTTGATTTTGGACTTCAGGGCGCCCATTCGCAGATTTGGGGAACTGTGTTAAATGAGCAGCCAAAAGATTTTGGAGCAACTCCAGTTGCTGAAATTTAGCAAACGTTGGAGGGTGACCCAAATGTTGCTTCCACATTGTTTAAATTTTTTGCCTTAAAGTTTGGCGATGGGTGAATTTTGGACTTTTTCTCATTGCTTGCCAAAGGCGCTCCAGGTATATTTCGTTTTTTTGGTTTGTCCAGAAGTGTACGATCCGGCTTATTAAAGTGAATCATTTTATCCATGATAACTCACTTGGGTCGGCTATAGCTCCACTTTATAAACCTGCTACGATCTAGTCAGTTTTAAAATAAAACCTTGGCATACAATGCCTCTGACCACGTGCAGAGTATCTTTGTTCTCCAAACTGGCAGCTGTAAGCCTGCAGCTAGTAAAAACAATTGATGGATTTTAAGGTTTACTGTCAGCCCTTAATGTTGTAATTCTATATTTCTAATGACTCCACATTTGGACACTGCCCTGCACGATTCACTCCTTTCCACTGTAAAGATTTCTGACAGTACTGAGCAGCATTATCTTTCGTATTTGTAAACTGCTGTGATGGAGTCAAGCTTTTGGGGTCAGACTAGATGACCCCTTGGGGAACCTTCTATAAAATGAATTCAAAGCAAGCTCCTGGAAGGGGGGGGGAAGGAAGAATCACATTTTATTTCTCCTTCCTGCATATATAAAATTATTAGTAAATCTATAAATATAAATAAAGTAAAATAAATGGATGCATTAACAGCGGGTAAAACCGTGGCTTTTAAAGACTCAGACTAGGGGTTAAAGCTTCCCAACCGGCAACTGATTGCAATTAATAATTAGCAAGACCAATCGGGGAAGTAATCTCGAAATGCCAAAGCACACGCAAACCTCAGCCTTTGCATCCTGCGCACGGGTGATACGGAGCGCACTCTGAGCAGGCAAGCCCGCTGTCGGGACCAGCCGGCCCGCTCACTCGCCAAGGCAAAATTAAATTTTTTTTTTAAAAAGCACATTTTTAAACAGCGTTATTTATATTTCAAATATTTGTGTGGTTGGTTTTTTTCCCTTCTTCTTAAGGGCAGGCCGGCAGCCCTTGCAAACAGGAGCGTTTTACTCACGGTGAGCCTGTACGTCTGCATCATTTTATCAAACTCCTCATCAATTTTTTTATACTTCTCCTCCGTCTGAGGCGTCAAGGCAAACCCGTCTTCCCCATCGGGGCTCTCACACTCCCTGTGCTTCTTGTTCAGGGCCTGCTCCGGGGCCGGAGGCGTGAACGGGGTGAGGGGGTGAGGGTGGGATTCATGGTTTTTGGGGAGAGGAAGAGGACGGGGCACGACCAACAGACAAACGAGGACAACGAAACGAAACGAAAGAAAAGAAAAGAAAGAAAAAGAAGAGAGGATGAAGAGTTTTCCAGCCAGAGGCGGCGGGCTTACTTACACCGTAGCGCTTGAACAAGATGTCGAGGTCCTCGCTGGCTTTCCGGTACTTGTCCTCCATCAGCGGGCTCTGGTCGATGGAATCCTCCCCATCAGGCTCTGGACTGTCGCAACCGTTAAAACCTTTCTTTCTTAATGTCTGAAAGCACAACCGGGAGAAGTTCAGGCCCGGCCATCGGGAGAAAAAACAGACGGCTATTTTGGCCCGTCAGCCGCCCTTGGACGCTGCTTGGGATGAAAGGAAACCTCGAGAGAGAAGCTGCATCGCTCAGGCGTGATGCTGACATCATGACAATCGGAGATCTGCTTAAAGCACTGTTTCCCAGAGACCATGGTTTATATAAACCAGTTTCCATAAACCATGGTTTATATACGAATCACAGTTTATATAAACCATGGTTTGTATAAACCACTACTAGCCTAAACGATATCCTTCAGAGAACAAACCATTACTCATCACGGCTTTTAGGACTGTGGGATAACTGTCACAAACCACGGCTTTTAGGACTCAAATTATGGCTGAAACTTTGCAACAGACAGCAGCCCAATCCGCCTCGGATGGCTTCATCCTAGAGCATTCTGGATGTTGTCCTTTGGTGATGAATTTAACACTTCTTTGTGTATCCTGCATAATTCCCTAATAGAAAACACAAAGTGGCTTGAAAACCAGGCTGTTCACCAAACTACAGTTCCCAGAATCCTCTGAGATCATGCCACAGTCGTTTGTGCACCATCAGACTGGTATATACTGCACAGTGTGTAAACCCAATACCAGGTGCGGATAATGTGAATCCGGAGCGGCCTGAAATATCTAATGCACTAAGGAGACTGCTTCTCTCTCATCATCATCATCATCATCTCCTGCTGTGTAGGACATAGCAGAGCAACCACCGCACGCTTCAGACGCCCACAGAATGTACGTCGTTAGGAACCTGCAACATGGTGCCATCTTTTTGAAACGCCCCTGGTTGCGCATAGGGCAGCCCATTTGACCAACTATGCCAATCGCTCTTAATCACAGGATTTCCAAAATACCAGAAGCAATTAGTCCCTATTACGGGATCAATGTTTGCCAATGGGTTTTTAAAAGTCCAGCTTGCAAAGTTTCCTGGAAGTCAGAACCCCTTTTCCTGCCAGAGAGAAACTGAAAGACGTGTTAGCAAAAAAAAAGAGAGAAAAGTTTCTCTTTCCGAGGAACGGCGGCCACCGTTCAACGGGAGAAAGCAGAAGCGATCAGTCCATCCATGGGGCCTCCCTGTGGGTCTAGAACAGATCTGTAGCCAGAAATATGGAGTGGGGGTGGGGTGGGGAAGAGATATACGCCAGAGGGCAAGTGAATCGGAGCAGGAACAAGGCGCCAAGTAACTCGATGGGTGCATCGCCCGCAGAGGCGCCTGCTCAGACATCAACGCCACGGAGTCCAACAACACGTGTCCTCAGACACGCGCAGCGTTAAAAGTGATTTCCATGGATCAAATCACAAAAAAACCTGTAAGATATCACACTTGAAAGGGTCTGAAAAAAAGGTCCGTCCTCAAAGAGAAGGCAACCTTTCAGCTAAGCGGACGTCACGATGGGAAAACACAGCCATGTGGTGTTGAGGTGACGCACAGGAGAGATGCAGGAGGCCCTGGGCCATCCGAAGTTCTTCGGGGCAAGCCTGCTGCGAGGGCGGATTCTGCACATGGCCGTTCAAGGGGTCATGGGCGGGGGGGGTGAGGAGAGAATCACCTACTCTGGGCAACACCT